CCTGCTAGAGCGCCCCCTGGAGGGCGTTAGCCCGTAAAAATCTTTAGATTAGCCGCATCATTGTTTAAGCCGCAGGGTTAAAAGCGTGTGAAAAAAGTAGCGGATTATAGTCCGGAAATTACGGTAGTTCTACTCTATAAGGGTCGATAATGGCATTTTTCATTTGACTGCTGCCCTCTAATATCTTTCTAAAGTTATCTTCAGGTGAAGTTAGCCATTTATTAACCGTTCTAACCAATCCGTGTCCTAGTTTTAATATGTGTTTGGTTTGTGTTTATGACAGGGTGGATGGTGTAATGGATGCTCAGGGATTTGAGAGAAGTTACACTGTTAACAGCAGCATTTTGTTGGCCGTCCAACCACACCTGATACACTTCCACCAGCTACTTCTGAAGCCACCCAAGGTACATAAACACAGATATTATCATCTTTAGGGCCTTAATATAAGCTGGCGTAGTATGAGATAACATGCAAACCATCATAAAAACATATAATGATAGTTAGATAATAGAAAACTCCTCTGCATGCCATTATAAATCTTCCAGGTGCTAGTCACAGGCATGAAAAGCATCAAACATAGAAAGAAAAGCATCAAACATAGAAAGAAAAGAGGGTTTGTCCTACACCAAAACTCACAAGGCTTTCACTTGCAGAGAGTGAGGACATGTAATAAATGTAAAATATGTTCTAATTTGTACTGTGCAGCAACCTCTTTCTTGAATAGTTGTCCTTGATTCTCTTCAATTTAGATAACCATTGTTATTCAATAGTTGAGCCTGTGTTAAAAAGCTCTGCTAAACCTTTAGATAGTATTTTCCATAATTCTTGTATGCCCTCTATCTGTGTATTTTTAGCGAAATCCCATGCTGACTACTCTGGGTGTGCTGGAGGAGCCATTAGGGAACACACGTCTGCACGTAGCCAGACTGGTGGCCTCTCTGCTGTATACCAGCTCTGCTAGCCACGCAGTCGTAGCACAGGAACTCTGCCGACTCAATACAATGGACCTGCTTCTGGTGAGATGAGCTAACACGTTACATTTGTTATTTGAGTACACGCTTAAGAAATTCACAGATATTTAATGTCCTATTGGACCATTTGCCTTTTTTGTATGCTTTTTTTTTTATTCAGGACTTGTTTTTCAAGTATACATGGAACAACTTCCTGCACCTCCAAGTGGAGCTTTGCGTTGCTGCCATCCTCCGGCCCTGTGCCCATGAAATGAGACTTCAGCCTGGTTTGGGAGCCCAGGAAAAATTCAAGCCTCACCAGGATGGCTCACAAGAGCAGGCTTTGACTGAAACCCCTTCTGAACCTCCAGTCACCCCTGAAAACTCTGCACATAATCTAATGGTGACTCATGTAGGTGTCTCTGCTTGTGTTTGAAGCAAGAGGCTTATGTGACATTTGATCTTATGGCTCTTTCTGAATCAAAACATTTGCTTAACTGTATCTTTGTCTCTCACAAGTTGTTTCAGCACTGTCACCTTGTTCAGAGGATTCTAGAGGCCTGGGAAGAGAATGATAAAATACAGTAAGGACCTTTATTATGACATTTAAAGGGTGTGATGCTGTTGTTGCTAACAGGCAGTAGCATATGGGCTTCCCTAAGTGTTGTACTTTTGTGTTCAGGTCAGAAGGTGGTATGAGAAGAGGGTACATGGGACATCTGACCAGGATTGCCAACACAGTAGTCCACAACCTGGAGAAGGGCCCGGTTCACACACAGATTAGTAGCCTCATTACAGGTGTGTATGTCTATGTAAAAGAAAGTGGTTATAAAAGAAGAAATTCACACAATTACCAATTTACTTGAATATTTTATTAATGCTGTTGTGTTGTTGGATGTAGAGCTGCCAGAGGACTACAGAGGGCGCTGGGACACATTTGTGGACCAGACCCTGTCAGAGACCAATAGGAAGAACACCATAGACCTGGTAATCACACACATGCTCATGTACAGTATATAATAGCTGTTTGTAATTACACACACACTCAAACTTGTGGTGTTTTTTTTCCCCCTGTCCAGATTGGCACTGGAAACCCACGGCCATCTTCAGAGGATGATATGGAGAGCCCCTTCCCTAAAGAACTGACACTACAGCAGGTACACAAAAATAAACACGCACACACATTTTTTTGCTTGCTTCTATCATCGGAAATAGTAATGTAATTCAAATTGTGATGTGTGTTTTAGGCATTTTCAGACTACCAGATCCAGCAGATGACGGCTAACTTTGTGGATCAGTTCGGCTTCAATGATGAAGAGTTCACTGATCACGACGACAGCATTGGGTAAAACTAAGTGACATTCTTCTCTGTATGACAGTGAACTAGTATAATTGTGTATCAGTTGCGTGACATCTACTGTTACTGCAGGGCAACATTTGACCGAATTGCAGAGATCAATATCAACATTGATGCAGGCCAGGACAGTGTAAGTTTATTCACACATTTGTTCTATGACGTTGTATTTCTATAATGCTTTGGGGCTGCAAATGTCTTTGTTTATTCAGAATTTTATGGCCACTCAAAACAACCCGACAACCACATATCACCATGTTACAGTTACCTACTTACAAATCCTGTAGACAGGTTTAACCTCCTTTTTCATTACAAAATTGTCAATTCTAACATCAAAAACATTGATTCATTCAGGTTCAAGATTTAGCCCTCATCTTAGCATTTGTTATGCAGCTTTATGGATATTGATGTACACTAATTAAACTTGTCCTTTTCAGGCTAATACAGCTGTGTTTGAGGCCTGTTCCAAGGAGAGGATTCAGCCCTTTGATGATGATGAAGAAGACATTTGGGAGGATAAAGAGATCAACTTTGCAACACAAACCAAGTCCCGTAACAGGTCAGACACATAACAGTAACTACAAAAGACCTCAGCATTATGTTGTGGAATTATTTATGAGGCATGTGAATTAATCCTCCCTTCCTCAATCAGACACACTAAAATGTTGTGTTTTATTCAAGGTTTGGTGGGTCACAAGCCCAGAGTCAAGCAGCCAGTACAGCTTGTGATATGACAGCAGCTTCTGGTACTGAGGCCTCTGACACAGCAGCAGACTCAGACTCTGAGGAGGGAGAAGATCCTAAAGATGACCTGGATCCATTCTCAAGCCAGGGCCAGACTGAAGCAACAAAGAGTGAGAAGTATTATATTGTATAGTAATGCATAATTATTTTGCCCGACACGTTAGGACTACAGCAGGTTTTAAGCAAGCGTCTGATATAGATTGTGTGTGGTGCTTTTCACACTCAGGCACCGGCTGGATAGCAGACTTTGGGGAGGTGAACTCAAAGGCTCCTGCAGCAGGAGTGGGCTTTTCAGCCTGGGACACTCCAGACTCCAAACCAGCTGCCACAGAGGCGGAGGAGAAAGGATGGGCCAAGTTCACTGACTTCCAGCCTTTCTGCTGGTGAGTCCGGCTGTGGTCTAAATCTGAGGAGCTTATTTCTGCCTTAAAGCATCTTAAAGCTTTGTTCCGATAAAACAACTAAAACTGTAGATATACTACTACTATATACTACTTTACCCATTTAGTAATTGTAAAAACTGCCCATTGAGGCATAATGAAGAAATTGTGGTGATAAATATATTAGAATATATGCAATTAATGAAAGCCAGATGCAGTAAACCATGGGTTTCTTTTACTTCCCAGTGATATGTTTTTCCTTGAGAAAGCATTGACAATCCTCAAAACTAATAATAAAGGAGAAAAAATAATTATTTTTATTATTATATTCCAGTATGATATTTAATGTGGAGTCAAACGCAGCATGTTGGCATCTAAATCTTACATTTATTTACAGCTTGAAGTTGAACCAATATTCCCTTCAAGCTTGGTTGTAGCTGTTGTCCCCATAGTATTCTATTAGGGTTTTTCTAATTAATTATTTTTGCACAGGTGATCATAGACACATAATAGGGACAGATTTAACCTTAAATGTAATTGGCTGTAGTTTGGACTGTTTTCTACAGGTTTTCTTATCTGTGTGACTCATGTCCCCAGCTCTGAAACAGGCCCCAGATGCAGTTCTCCTGTGGACTCGGAGCTCAGCGGATCAGACAACACCAAACCAAACCAGAACCGTGAGTTGCTGCAGCCTAGCTATTTGAGTGATGATATAAAATGTCATTTATTAATAATACAACATTCAAATTGACAAAATGAAAATGATGAATGACAAAATGGTAAGAATTAAAACTTGTATTTTAAAAGCCTCCCAATCCCCACCATTGGTGTACAATTCCTATTCAACCAATGCCATACGACTTTTTAATCAATACAAATTGCAGGTGCCAATACAGATTTTGTATGAACTTTTAATGTATAGGATAAACAGTCAAGTTACTATGCATCATTTGTGATTTATTTGATATTTTAGTTGGCAAACTGCAGCATGCATTTGGCAGCTCTTAACTACTGCCGCTCAACCTCTGCGATGACTTGACCTCTCCAGTGAAACGAGGTGATGTACGTCAGTGTTAAAGTCTCTTTTAAATTCCTTCGTCGCTCTCTGCAGCGTGTGTGTGGAGTGTGTGCGTGGCAAGAAAAGCTCCACTGGTGGCATCGGACAGCTCTTCCTCCAGCAGCTCAGACAGCGATGAGGAAGAAGGCAAGACAGAGTCTACGGCCAGTGAGACGGTCACCACAGAGACCATCACCACGGGGGCTGGCAAAGAGACAATTCGGCTCACCGTGGACACCAAAAATGAGAGGGCAGTCTTCAGCAGGTACACACTCAGATGATGTACAGCTGCTCTGTCTTGATTGGTGCAGCGTGTCCCCTCTCTCCTATTGTGCTTTTATAGAGCCATTCTTTCCCTTTCTCCTCCAAACGTTTTCCCACGTAATTTTACTTCCACCTTCTCTGTTTTTCTTCTGATATTCGCCCTCCTCCTGTCTGTCCCCTCCTTTTTGGTCTCCCTTTGACTCCAGAATATTCAGACCAGCTGTCAGACGGTATGTTGTGCTGGAGGTCCTCTACTCTGGAGTGTGGAATGTTTTCCTGAAGTTGAATGAAGGATTTAAAAGGCCATCTTAAGAATGGATGGGCCAACATGTTTTTGTTTGCTTGTTGCATTTAACAGGATGCGATGTAACAGTACCTTGTGTCATAATTCAGGCCTAATTCATCACAAAAATGTACTAACCCACAACTGGTGATTTGTAGAGGACCTCTGTCTCTATGCTAGGCTTATTCTCAACATGACCCTGTAAACACCACTGGTATAAGCGATGACCCCCCTCCCTCCCCAGCATGAAACAGACCACTCAGCATTTTAGAAACATCTTATACAGTTACACCGAAAGATGAGAGCAACGTATGACTTCTCACTGTCGTTATATTATAAAGATAATTCTTGTCTCAGTCACAACATTGATAAGACCCAAGCTGATGGTTTTTTTTTTTTTTTTCAGTGCTTCCACTCTACTAACAGTATGTCAGATAGCATGCTGTGAACAGAAGTGGCTACCAATCCAACCAATCTAACAAATCAATACATTAGCAAGTTACTAACAAACAGTGCACCTATGAGCATGCTACAGTTACATAGATCCCACTTGGAATTTGATCCTAAGGCCCGGTCCACACAGGATGTGTGAGCAGTGCATTGTGAGGTCTTGATTTTTATTTTGTCACCCATGTTAACAGGTTAGAGCAGCCACTCTGCCCATGTGAGCCGTGCATGTCACGCGTTCCTCAGCTGTGGTTGCAACGACACTTCACTACATAGATGCAAAAAGTATCTGTTCATAGTCAGACATTATACCGGCAACATACACTCCTCATACTACATTTTGACATTTTGTCTGTGGGTGGAATCCATTCATTTGTTAACAAGGCTTTTATTGTACTGTATCTATCAAAGGAAAACTCAATGTAGAAAGATAGGGCTGTCAGAAACCTTCTGTGTGGACACCACACGTGTGCAAACCGTAGCAATTTAGCAAGGAAGCCGTCACACACTGCTCATGCACGCTGTGTGGACAAGGGGTAACTACCTTTGCGACTGTGTGCCCAACTCCGTTTGATTTTGGTCAGTCAGCCAGCTATACATTGGCAGAAGAGTGGATGCACAGGTTGCTGTACGCGCTAGGCATGGTAATGGCCAGTGTGGACAGCTGAAAGCAGATAACTGTGGTAAAGTTGTTTCACTATATGAGTTGTGACAATCCCTGGCTCTCCATCTAGTTTGTTACAGCTACATTTGCTTTTTGCAGCGAAGCAGATAAGGTGCCAGTAGAGGGACTCGCCATCAAAGACAAAGGGAAAGACAATGAGAAAGAAAGCGAAAAAGGAAAGAATCATGTAGACGGCCCCAGCCCAGCTGCCACCAGTCCAGCTGCTCAGTCAGCTGCTGTCACACAGTAAGTAAGTGTGTGTGTGTCTGTGTGTCCCGGGTAAAGTACCTCCCAAAATGTGCATAATTAAAGACTCCTGACATTCCTGACCTCAAGTGTTTCCTACAATGTTAACGTTGGTTGCTTTTTATTAAATAAAAAAGGGTAAAGCCATCGTTTGTCATTAGTTCTATCTGTGCTTTTCCTGCTATGACAATTCAACATGTATTGTGGTTTAAACACTGAGTGGTCTTGAAATGTTGGTAACAACCTTTGCCAAATGCTGTACATTTGTGTATGACAACCTTAAATGAACTAATGCATATTGTTTAAAGATATATCTCAGTGTTTTACAACCTGAGTTTGATTGTCATAGTTTCTCTGGTTTTACTGTTTGTTATGATAACATTTAACTTAAAAAACTAATTACTGAGGCATAATCAAACTGGTTGTAAAGAGAAGCGCAATCTTAACGTATGTAGAAGATTTACATACAAGAGTTTTTCTACGTATGTATGGAGAACCTTGATCGCTCAAACAGAGATGAAGTTTAACTAAGAAGTTGAAAAATGAAAACGTTAAAAAATGGAAACAAATTAAATAATTGTGTACAATGGACAGTTTGGGTTACAACTTGGACATTAGAAAACGATATGGTAAAACTAGTGTGACTGTGCATTGCCACATACCATATCTTCTTTGTAGGATCATTTCAACCAAATTGCAAAAGTATATTTTACTAATTACAATAGTGGTATGTAGCCACACAGAGAGAAATCTTGTTTTCCTGCTTTCAGTCTTTGTCACCATCTTGTGAGATCACACTTGAGACTACTGCCACCACCCCAATAGTGACAGAGCTTTTATTGACAACTTAATATTGACGCTAAGAAAAGTGTTCTGAGGATATCCTCTTTAAAACTGTAATTTTTCTGTACTTTTTTTAAATTTATTTATAAACATTTTCCACATTATAAAGGCAGTGAACAAAGAGCAGGTAAGGAGCAGAGAACTAAAAACGAACACCAAACCAAGGACACTGGGTAATCAATAAGTCAAAGCAAAATTTCCTCAAATAAAAACAAAATATCACAAATAATAACAGTAATTATGAGAGATCTGTCTAATTGGATAAATAAACACACACCATTTTCCCCACCGTTCTTTTTGAAGTCGTAAGGAGTAGGTCGTCTGTTCTAGAAGATGTAGATGCTTAACAGTAGTGACAAAGAAGCTGGCAGCGGGGCAGGTTTTCTAAGCCAATATTTTGTAATGGCCTTTTTACTTGCTGCCAGCACGATCTTTAGAAGGTAGGTATCATCTTTACTCAGCCCGTCGGGGATGTGTCCAAAAAAGAGTGACGTGAATGTTGTACTGATACTAAAACCCAGGGTTTTTGAAATGATCGTTGTCTATTCAGACTTCCAAAAGTCTGAATGGAGGGACAAGAACACATTAGCGTGATGAACCATAAGTTCTCCACATTCCCTCCAGCAGCATAGCTGAGTGCCAGTTTGTTTAGCCTTCTGTTTGGGCAGTAATAAAAAAGCAAATCAAGATTTTCCTCTACTTTTAAGGTTATAAAACAATTTCTTTTAACCTCCATTCTGTTATTTGGGTGGTGGCAGATATCTCAAAACATTGACTGACAAAACCAAAGTTGTCAATTTTCCTTTGTCTTTTTGTAAAAATGTAAAATCATTTTGTAATGTTTTTACCTTCCAGAGAGACGCAGCCCTCTGCTAATGGACCGGCCTAACGATGCATCACAGACACACGCACACACACAGACACAGACACGCTTCATACCTGTCTTCAACACACAGCCATGCCACCTATGCTTCCTGTTAGCAGCCATAGCAGCCCTCCAATGCCCTTTTTGTGCCCGAAGAAGAATGGGAGATCCTCAGTGTTGAGGTCAAACAGCCCTTAACACAGTATGTATGCTGGATAACAAAAATCTACACATGGGTACTATTGATCTCTCCTGCACCTTCATGACATAATTACAACTGAACCGCTTCAAAAAGGAACGTGTGTTTTAAGGAACATTTTCGCCATGCCAGACCCCTAAAGCCAAATTGTGTTACGTATGAACTATTTAAAAAAAGAAATGGGAATTTTCCCCATTGAGCTTGGGAAAGTGAAAACACCTGTTGAGATGAGCTGAGGACACGCTGAGTGTGCCTGCTGTGGCACTTTAATCCTAATAAAACAAATACATATGTCTGAAATTAGCCCTTTTATTTAATTCAGCATCAGAATTTTAGATCGTTTGTCTGCTCTCTGGGCATTAAAATCACAGCCCAATTTTTCTATCAGAGCATTTGACTGTTTACACTTTAGTAAAGAAAACTGTACTCGTATAATCAGCCAAGATTACAAAAGCCAAGATGATTGCAAAGCTAGCCGCCATTTTGTCTTTAGCATTTCAATGTACATGCCAGGCAGACATTTCATTAGTTGCAAAAGTGTGAGTGATAATAATGTGGGGTTTCTTTTTCTACATGCTACTAAATCAGTTCTCAATCCCAGTAAGGTTTCTTCGCTTTGGTCATATGGAACATTAATAATTAATTTGGAGCATCAGATTTGGGAGAATCATGTCACTTACTTCTCAAACCTGTGACAGATTCATATAGTTTAGAGTGTGTGCACTGTTGTATCCATATGTGTAGACGTGTGTGTGTGTGTGTGTGTGTATGTGTATGTGAGCTCTGTACAGGTACAGAGTGCATTCTCAGGTCGAAGGAGAGGTATGCAGATACAAAGAAAGCACACCTGTGTAACACGCGCACACACACGCACACACACACACACACATATACACTACCAAATCTGTACACACGTGCAAAAACAAGACACAGTGACGTGCACATACTAATTGATATCACCCTCAGAGCTGTTTAAATGTAATATTGTGAAATTTGAACCTGTATTAGGTTGTGGCTATTCTTGGTAACATGTAAACGTAATATAAATGTAAACAGTATATATAAACATTATATCTATTTTTGGAATAAATCCAATGTACGGAAAGGCGATTGTTTTGCAGGTTGCAACGTGTGTATTGTATGTGTGTGTTGTACTGTTGAAATGAGGCAATAATGATGTCTGTGTTTCGGTTAATACCCCAGCATCAGTTCCTGTTCCTCTGCTACATGCTTCCTACATGGAGGTTTGGGTGTGTGAATGTGAGCCAGTAGTCTGTCCTCTGTATTATTTACTTAAAGGATAATGTCAATTTATTAGAATTTGGGTCGTATTTTCATTCAGTAGTTTTGAACAAAATACCAGGCTAACTAATCTTATCGAGAAAACGACAGTGAATAATCAAATAATACCAATACTGTCCTTTGTAAACATCCGTCACAGTGCTTCAACTTTTACCTTTTTATAATATCATTTATCTGCACATACATACTTTTTTTTTTATATAAGGAGGGATTACTCTCAACAAGGGCCGAACAATTTGATTACCCAAAATAATAGGTAACTATTCATTAAAGTCATTTTTCAGTACCTCACATTACCTAATTTCAGATTCTCAAAATTAAGAATTGCATTTCGTTTTGGACTATTGAAAAGACAAAAGCTCTCTGGGCTGATGTCTGACATTTTTCACTATATCCTGACAGTTTATAGTCCAAACATTAACGATTGTTTAGTTGAAAAAACTCAATAATCATTAGTAGCACCCTTTTACGTGCGCAGACTTGATTGCCAAATTTATATAGTTTGAATAAACTGATTTCATTAAAAGCCAAAAAAATCTAAAAGTCTGATTGGGGCTCTTCTTTCTTCCTCATACTTGTTACCTGTTGAGTAAAGTCAAATCATAATTGAAAAGAAATCATGGTGAAAAGTACAAAAACAAGACTCAAATTGTAATAAACCAGAATTATCTTTTTAAGTTTGCGTGTGCCAGGCAGTCATGCTTTACTTTATCTTTCTCCTCGTCTCTCTCTTTCTCAGGGCAGGAGTTGACTTTAATTGCATATATGCCTATGGAACGATTTACATAGATTGTTGTATTTATTTTGAAAGCACTTTTTCAAGAAGCACTTTTGGTTTGTATTTGGTGGTGCTACGTGTCACCACATTATTCCCCACTCAAAGAGGTGGGAATGTTTGACTTGAATGAGTGAACCATGTAGATACTTTAGAATACTTTTTTTCTTCAATGCTTTCTGCCAAAGTGTGTCTTCCCCACCAGTGTACAACTGGGTTTCATATCTGTGAAGTAGCCTCCTTTCTTGCAACGGTCTTACAGGTCTAGATTTATCTAAAGAAGTCTTTGTTTAATCCCTCATGTTTTCTCTTTTTTTAAGTCATATGATGGAGTTATCAGCAGTAGGAGAGGCTACCACATGTCAAAGCAAGACTTTGATTCATCTTAGATCACAGCCATTTTGCTTTTATCCTTTCAGCGCTTTGAGCTGTTTGAAGTGGAACTGCACAGAGACCGAGCATTGGTTTTAAGTCAGGGTTTAGAGGAGAAAAACAGGGCTGTTTTCTGTCAGGGTGTGTACAGGGTCAGAATATGTCATCCCGTCTTTCGTCAAACCTAAGCACTGCGTCTGACCCTTACCTTTGTGTTTTTGGTGTGCGTGTCTCCTTCACTTTGAGAGTGCGGTGTGTGTGTGCGGTGTGTGTGTGCGGTGTAGCTACGGGTATGGTGTGATGTTATGCATAATGGCATGAGGTACAAAACAGTCATCTTTTAAGTGCCATTAAGTTTGCACATCAGCCTCATTCACCTCATTGGGTTATATGCTGTATTGTACAGTGTGCCCAAAAACTTTTAATTGAGAGACAATGGGTGTTAAATTGTAACTTCATCCCATTGGAAGTTACCTTACACTGAGGCCATTTCAAAGTTTAAATATTTCTCGCATTACAGTTTAGACATTTGTGTATATGTATATGTGTGTGTGTGGAGGAAGAGGTGTGAAAGACAGTCGTGCTGTAAAAGGCCTTTTTGTAAAGTGGACTGATGCTGGTGTTTAGTTTTTCTTTTTCTTTTTTCATTTAGAGAGTAATGTGTCTGTTACCTGTTGTCAATTTAGCTTGTACATTCAGATATGAATCTAATAAATATGTCAGACCAAGAAGAATCATGAGCCTGTGTTTTTTTTAAATGTACATCCTGCTGTAACACACACACACACAGGGACAGGGAGAGAGAGGTATTTTGAAACACAAATATGTTTACCTTAGGGGCAGGTGAGGTAGTGAACTATGTTGCTTCCTCCTCCTTACTGTAGGTTTCCTACACATCAGCCACAAGTTATGATTGCTAATGTAAACCTGCCTGTCACATACATCCTACAGGAGAAGACCCTTCATAAACTCCCTCATATTCCCAACACACACAAGCTTGGAGTCCTACCTATATGTCATTGCCCTTAACTGTGGGTGTGTGTTTTTATTTCTCGGCACAGATGCACCATGTATGTCATCACATTCCTGTATAGTTTACGAGTGGAGCACAGATACTGAACACACCTGCTGCTGCTCCAACCTCTCCTTGCACTCTTCTCCCTGCCTTCCCCTTTCTTTTCCTTTCTCTTTTTCCCCGTCTTCCATAGAGGAATAAACACCTTTACTTTGTCATCCGCACCTGCCTGCTCTCTCCGTAGAGAAGGGCATACATGTGGGGAAGAGAGTGTATGCTGTGTGTGGAAAGGGGAAGAAGGCGGAGTTGTGTTTTTTTTTTTGTTTTTTTTTAACTTTAATGGGTTGTGGAGAAACCTGCCTGTCCGCTTGGAGCTGTGAGAGGAGGAGCCTGTGGGGTGTGGGACTCCAGACAAAGGAGACATATACACACTGACACTGGATCACTGGAGCGAAAGGAGAGACAGACAGCTGGAAAGCTTGACTTTTCCACACAGGAAACAACCCTCAACTCCTGGACTACTTTTTTTCGTGTGTGTGTTTTGGAAAACTTTGTCAGAAAAGGGACTTTACTGTATGTGTTTGTCAGCTGTATGGATTCATCTGGGAGCTGAGAGATGTTTGTGTTGGAGCAGCAGTTACCATATGCTGCCTGTAGTGTGTGGAAGTGTGTGGGTTAGTATGTTTGGGATGGAAAAGTGGGGCTGGCACGACCAACAGCTCTGCTCTTAGCTTTACGCCATGGGGGGTTGCCATAGTTACCCCTCGGCAGACAGCAAGACTCTTCAGCCTTCTGACATCAGCGGTGAAAAACTGTAAGTTGTGTATGTCTTCATCAGCTTTACACTCACACTCCTGTTTCAGTTTCCTGTCTGGAAATGAATTCAGTGTTTTGCATTTGCTGTTCCATCTTTCTATAATGACTTTTCCTATTGTTACTTTTATATAGAACATAAAAGAAAAGGAAGATGGAGTTTTAGCAATGGACAGTACAGAAGAAACACAGCTAGAAAGTTGGCTGCACATGGTTTACAGAGGAATGTTCTCCAGATAAGAGTGCGTGTGTGCGTGTGCGTGTGTGTGTGTGTATTACATATTTGTCTGATGGCATCAGTGAAGGTGGATTCCTCTCACAGCGGGAACACATGTTGTGAAGTAGTTTAAACCAAGACGAGGAAAGATTGTATGTGTACATGTTTCTATTCAAACATTTGCTCCAGGATGAATGTTTTTCCAGCCAGCTGGCTGTGCTGAAGAGGAGTGTTTATTTCACCCACACGGCAGAGGTAAAGGTAAACAGACGGCTGAGAGCAGGAGAACAGGGTCACAGAGGAGCGTGTTTACACACAAACACAACATTACAAGTAGCTCCGGGTTCTGTGTGTGTGTGTGTGCGCGCTGACAACTGGTAGCCAAGAGGCGGTAACTGAGTTAATGCCATGGAGCTGGAACAGAACAGGATGTTAACAAAAGAAGTTCCTGTGGACATTAGAGAAGTTTGTCATGGTTTACATTTACACTACTGTACCCGTGTACAGCTAATGTGTACATTCTTCTCTGTCACTATTTCTCCCTTTCCACCTCTCCTGACCTTTACTTTGGACAAAGACTTGCTGTTTAGACCATTAAACAAATTCTCCCCGCCCAGCCCTCACTCACACTCACACACCAGGGGGAGAAAAAACCCCATAGAGAACACTGTGTTTCCCTTATCGCAAGTAAGGCAAGGTCACACTGAGTAAACTTTCAGCTGCTGCGTGAGTGGACATCTAAAAACTGAGAATGGCAGCTGCTTGATTCCACTACACTTTTAAATTTTGAATCCAAGGCGCCATATTTAAAAACATGCTAGCCCACAAACAGACAAGAGTAGAGCAGTTATCACCATCTCAGTACACTACCTGTGTCTACGTGGCAGACCCTGTTTGCATAAAGTCAAATCTTGCTGCCAAGTTTGACTTTCCAGTACACACTGGCATTCGCAAACATCATTTATTTCCTGCACCCGAGCTCTATA